TGAGTTCATAATAATCAAACAAGAAGGCATTGCATTATCATTCTGAGTGGAGTATAGTAAAGTTAATCCAGGAATCTTCTCGAGATTTTGGCACGACGCGGTGAGTCAAGAGCTGGCCATTCGGAGCGCACTTTATTTGTTAGTCGGTTCAACTTCTCCATAAATAATCGCACGTGAGAAAACTGATTCATCTGGAAAAATAAATAATAGAAAAACACTGAGGAAAGGAAAAGTTATAATCTATACCTGTTCTTGCGGGACATCACTCAAAGCAGTCATCACATCATTGTCCACTTTTGTAGGGTATTCCAAAAGGAACACTGGCGGAGGAGTCGCTGGAGGTGTGAAAAACTCTTCCAAGTCTTGCGGAGGAAGCCTAAAGATTGCTAGTTGCAAGGGCATTCAAAGAGAAAAACAGTAAGTCAATTTCTTAATGAAAAATGCGAGATAAAGACCCACCTCTCTTCAATGTTTGTGGCTGGAGTGCTGGGTGAGCGCAAAGAAAGCGCACCAAGACGGTCTGTAAGGCTTGCTAAAGAATCGTTGAGGACATTTTCGTCCATTGTTTCACTAGCATCTTCGAATTCCTCTCCTTCATCATCACTTCGTTCATCTTCAGCTGGAGTTAGACACGTTGAAAGGTCTAAAGACAAGCTATTTAAAGTCATAAAAGGCAAGATAAAGTAAAGGATGCCAGAAAATTTTGCAAGCGATCGTCTAGGTAAAAATAAACTGATTCAACCAGAGAGGCGGTTGAAGCGTGGGACTTCGATCGATTAGAGAGCAAGGAGATGCAGAGCCTGCCTCTCCTACGCTTACGTGCTCTCTAATTGATCGAAGCCCCGCCCTCCAGCCGCCTATCTCTTTGAATAAGATGGTAGGTTTCAGATTTGATGTGAGAACGGTAGCTTGGGCTTTCAAATTTTTCTCCCGTGGCATGCAGTAGACAAAAGAAGAAAAGTGGTTACCTGGGCTATCATCTTCGTCATCGAAATCAAGCTTCTTCCGAAGTTGATCAGCGTGAATTGGAGATGTCGATTCTCTCCTTCGCACTCCTCCCAGATAATCGTTCAAAAGCGCCAGTCCTTCTGGCGCCCGCAGATCAATCAGTCTATTCAAGAAACACCAAGACTCTGCCCATTTTACTTTATGTTTCGTGCTCAATTCACGTCCAATTCGCTCGTAACCCTAAAGAGTTGAATGAAGGTTAGAGGTACCCGATCTAGATTGCTTACCTTATCCGTATCAATGAGCTTCAAATGCTTCTCAGAGTTAACCCAAGCATTAAAAAACACTTCTGCTTTCGTTTTGTTACCGAAGGGACCAGCGTAAGCGGCCAATTTATAATCTGGCAGAATTGGCGAACAAATCTGAGTCTAAAGCACAGATATAAAACTGAAGTAAACCATGCAAGAAATACCCACATCATTACATAATGTCGGCTCGGGAAACCTTTCTGACTGCACAATCTTGGGTGTTGTGCTATTATCTGCAGAGCGGTAAAGGCTAACGAAAAAGCCGCCTAAGAGCAGCTCCATTTCAGCCTTACGTTCTCGCTTATCGCTACCGGTGTAGCGAGCACAAGCAACTTCCAAGGCGGTCTGACCCTCTCTGAATAGACCTTAGGAATCTAACAAGTATAAATCCTCTTCCACTCACTTATTCAAGAAATGTTTGTCCATCAGTGGTTGATCTACAAGTGCTCTAACAACGTCTACATGTCCGAACTTAGCTGCAATGTGCAGAGGAGTGTCACAGTTTCCCTGCAAAAATGAACGCTCAAAAAAGAAGTAAATCATAACGAGAAAAGGCGAATCAAGAAGAAGAACTAAAAGTACCTTATCAGGAGTGTTCAGATACGACGCAACGATATTTTCAGCACGAAATCGTGCGTCATCTTCTGTGGTGCCATAGAGATCAGCTAAGAATGTTGCATCATTGACAAGATGTAGAATTCTTTGCACTACATCAACTTTCCCATGACGAGCGGCTATGTGCAGCGCATTGAAGCGGAACCCTTCCTGGAAACACAAACTAAATTTTTTTTCGAAAGTTACAATTTAATATTGGGAAACAAATGACTTTGCTTTGAGCAGTGCACACATATTTCGAATACCTATCTTTATGGCAACAATAAAAGGCAATTAAGACTTTCTTTGCCGAAAAAA